AGTTTTTGTCAAAGTATGACAAATTCCTGGTTTTTCTTATATCCCTTTAATCATACCAAAGCATATCTGTACATATCATGTAGAACAGAAAAGATTGAGCTCGAGTGCCTCTCATAGTAAAATATCTGGTTACAATCACTCACCGCGTAAATTTGAGCGTAGTTTGGTTGGTCGTAGTACTTCAGCGAATCCACCAATTGCAGAATCTCAACATACTCTCTCGGACACGGTGCAGCAAACAGCTCATATAAGCCCGGTGGCTGACGACATCTCTTCTTGTATTCTCCAACCTTAACAAGTGCACGATAGCATGTATGTTCAACAACTTTGTATTTTTGATAATTTTCATACTTATGAATCAAACAGAAAAAAATCATTCTGTACAGCGATTTCGTAAAAACGTCATGACATGGGCGTGTTCTCTACAAAGTAATTTTGGTGGCTTGTATTATATTTTTTGCGGAAGTTTTGCGAAGATTCTAGTCAATGCTCCTTGGGACCCATGGCAGTGGCTAGAAACCTTACTACCAGAAGGCACGTAATGGATCTGCAAGAATGAGCCTCCTGCGAGACTAAAATCAAAAGTTCAATATGCAAGCTGCAACCTGGTTTATATCTTGTACTTCTCTCCAGGGTACTCTTCCAACTGTCAATTCCACTTGCTGATAAACCCATGTTTCTACATCATCCTTTCGACATAGCTCTCTTTGCATATGACATGAAATTGGAGCATAGCGCACAGTGCCACGGAATCCAGCTGCTGCTCGTGGTTTTCTTATAACTCCCTAAAAATCACCAATCATTCTTTGTTCAATCACAATTCTATTCCCTGGAACGTAGGATCATTCTGAGCGTTAGCGTTATTCTAACGAATAATGTGTGATATGAAGGAAATGGACATAGAATATGGAGATGATAGCGTAGTCCTTTTCAAGCGAGAGGTAAAAATTATTCGTGGCTTACGAATAGTAGAAAATTAGATTTGAAGTGCTGAGAAGCTTAGAACTTTTTAGAATAATTTTGGCTATAGTAAGAAAACGTCTCACTGTCCTATTGCGAGATATATTT